TTCCTCCCCCGCCATCGGATCCAGCTCACCACCAGGTGGTGATCAGTTGACAGCTCCGCCCTCTCTTCACTCGAGTGTCCAAGACATACGGCTGGAGGTCAGATGAAACAACCACAAAGTTGATCATCGACCTCCGGCCTAGGGTGTCCTGGTTCCATGTGCACTGATGGACACCCTTATGCTTGAACATGGTGTTCATTATGGACAAACTGTGACTAGCACAGAAGTCCAATAACAAAACACCACTCGGGTTCAGATCGGGGGGGCCGTTCCTCCCAATCACGCCCCTCCAGGTGTCACTGTCGCTGCCCACGTGGGCGTTGAAGTCCCCCAGTAGAACAATGGAGTCCCCAGTCGGGGCCTTTTCCAGCACCCCTCCCAGGGACTCCAGGAAGGCCGGGTACTCTACACTGCCATTTGGCCCATAGGCACAAACGGCAGTGAGAGACCTGTCCCCGACCCGAAGACGCAGGGAAGCGACCCTGATTCACCGGGGTAAACTCCAACACATGGCGGCTAAGCTGGGGAGCTATGAGCAAGCCCACACCAGCCCGATTTTACTTTGAAATGTTTCTCTCAACAATATTGCTGCATTTTTTTCTCCTCTTGTTAGCTGACCATGGATGAGAAACTACTGTGCTGAGTACTTGTGCTGTGCAGCCTGTGGAGAGCATGACGTTAATGTGAACACTGATTACTGATAATTTGGTTTAAGTAAGAGACGATAAGTAACATCTCACCAGAAATCTCATGGAGAACCAGTGGTCAAATGTTCATTCACCTCAGGACAGTTTGGTTGTCTGGTGTTGCACAACAATTTTCTCTTGCAACAAGAAAGCCTTTCAAGTGCCCATGGCTGCTCATTTTGCTAATTTCCAGCCATTTAATATTTAATCTTGGGTACCTCTAGATTAGCTTGGCACCCCTCATAACTCCAAATAGTGTTTAATTATTTTAGAATGATAAAACCAGAGAGCCTCTTCCTAAAAACAAGAGGATAGTTTGTGAAAGCACACGACTCCTGCTGCCAGTGTTATGTCACAAGTGGACAGCACAACAAACTGCAACGGCATTAATTCATTTCGATTTCTCCTCTATAGGTAAACAACGGTATACTGTATGTACCCATGAAAAGAGATGTGTATCACTCTAAACAAAGCGGGTAATTTAGAAACCCCATATTTTAACTGACATAATACAAACATAGTAACTTCTCCAGCCTTACAACAATTCTCTCTAACCCTACAGAAACAACACATTAACAGATATGCAATGTGTGTGTTTTAAACCTACCTTTAAGTCCCACCAAGTAGTGGAAACATCACTCCCTTTCAAGTAGCTCCAAGGTCGGTAAATCCAACCGGTGGTCAAGGTCAAAGGTCAAAGTCTCAGTGTTTATTTGTCACGTGCACAGTTAGGAAACGTGTTTCCCTGTACAATGAAATTCTTACTTTGCCGTCCACATGAATGCCACATAACACAAATGAAATATAAAGTAGATAAATAAGTAACACAAAATCTAAGGCACTTTAAGCAGCAAATGCAGCAATATAATAAAAATATATACGAATATAATAAGAGAATGTATGCTGTATGGGAGCAGCATGTGCAGCAGTCAATGTGCAATTATGCATGTGCAAACTGAGAATGTAAACAGTACATGACATATTTTCTGGTAATAAACTTCTCAGCTGTTTAGGAGTCTGATTGCAGAGGGAAAGAAAGAGTTTTTCAGTCTAGTGGTCCTGCATTTCACACTTCTGAACCTCCGGCCAGAGAGCAGAGAAGTGAACAGTCCGTGCTGGGGGTGGGTGGGATCTGAGAGGATGGAGGCAGCCTTCCCACGCACCCTGC